TCCATCTGCAGCAAAGATTGTAATTAAGAGTCCAGTCTGTTGAGATTCTGGGTGACCTGGGGGCAATCCGCGTGTTTCTCTCTGCTGCAGCATCACAAATGCCTTGAATTTCTTTTTTTTCTTCACCACCACCTCAAGAACAATGTTTGGTACCTCACCATCAAAGACTGCCGGGATGCGGTACTCAAATCGGCCTGGGCGGTAAAAACAAACACATCCATCTTCAAAGAACTTCACCACATCTTTCCACTCCATCCAAAAAACACCATCTTTCTTCTTTTCCGGCCGGCAAAGAGCTTTAATAATTGGATACTTCTTCCACATGTCACTATTATCAGACCAATCACCACTCCATTCCACATCATTGGCCCATGGATTTCGTATCTTCAACATGCAAAGTCGGTGAAGGGGGAAATGTCGAACGTCCAGTACAGTGTAAGCGTGACCCATTGCAAGTCCAGCCTTCTTGTACAGTCTCTCCACCTCATCCGCTTCAATATTACTCATCCTGCGACGTGAAGAATAGCTGCGCACATCTTCTGAAGGTGTATCTACAGTGATAAGGTATTTTTGATGTCTCCATTGATGCAATAATTTAAAGAATTTATCCGCAGAATCAGAGCTCTTCAACGCATCATTCCACAATTTTTTAAAATAAAACGATGGAAACCCAGTAAGATCCTGTAATGCGTATGTGGGAGATCCACCAGAAATGGCAGCATATGATCCATAGGCCTTAGCGTATGCCTTCTCCAAAAGAGAGACCCACAGATCACATGGTGAGTGGCGAGAGCGTGCAAAGCATGGGAGCTTAGATGTGGATGGAAGATAATCATCCACTATAAGGGTACGCCATATCCCGTTAATATTAAGTGTCACTCTATAGGCACCGGCCCTTCTTTCCTGTTTCTTTCGACAGCACCAATGTGGATTAAGAAAGAGTGAACGGATATTTTTCGGTTCCTCTGCCAGTGCACTGATAGAGCATAAGAACCAACAATCACCAAGTGTCCCCTGATCAATAGATTGGGGAGTTATCTTTTTCCTGTATAGTGCAATCTTTTTATGCCAAGATCTCGGAAGATAATCCCGTGGTCTTCGCCACGCAAAATCATTCAAGTTTTCTAACCGTCTATTTCGAGTTGAGGTATCACTGCTGGGGCGAAGTGAATCTGCAATGGGTGGGAAGTTCATGTCTACATAAGATACCTTGTACTTTATACATAGGTATACAGCACGATCTTCATTCTTCATAGCAGCGACTGCACCCTCCTTGGCCTTTTTAAGAACATCACGGACTTTTTGCATGTTTTTTGCAACCGTTTCATGAGCAGTCTTCATATACATCCTTTTCTGTTCATCTGTAACGGACTCTTCTGATACGATAATATTAAATCCCTGCGGCTTACCTTTAATAAATGGCTCCGTTTCTAACGGCATCACACGAAGATTTGCAACACCTGCCCCGGAGGAGTCTGTTTGATGAATTTGTGTATTTCCAAGTGCCTTAATGACTGATCCCACACCAAACACCACATTCACATCCATTACAGATTCTTGCGTATCATTATAGTAATACCATTTCTTCCCTTTAATGACGCGAAAGAGGCGACCATCTTCGAAGCACGAAATCACATCCCCGCCCGATACAGTAGGCTTTCCATTCACATAATTCGGTGGATCATTGCAGCATAAACAGCAGGATGGCATGATGAGCTGATTACAGGTAGAAGAGCTTGAAAATCTAAGCAGTAACAAGAGCAAAAAGAAAAAAATGAGGTAACATAAGCAAATACGTAGGAGCAGACCTAAGTAAAAAAAAAAAAGAACTGGAAAAAGATGCATCATTGCACGTGGTCGTGCTTGTATATGCAGAATTTCTGTAAATACTCTCAAGTATGAAAATGAGAAGAATAGAAAGGAAATATACTATGAGACATGGTAAAAATATAGGTTACCCTCTTATTGTCAACGAAAGAACTATATGTTTCTTTTCGTTTTTTTTTTTTCTTTCTTTCGCTCTTGATCACATTTTCCTTTTGGAGTCATTGAAATGTTTAAAGAATTATATATGATAAAAGGTGTAGTCTTGTGCATATTTCAACATAGACAGGTGACTCTAAGTGAAAAAAAAAATACACATAAACAGAGGTCAGATAAAGAGAAAGATAATGACAAACAGGGGAGAGGAAAAAAGAGAGGTAAGGTCAAGGGAAAAAAAAGACATCAAAAAACAAGTCTAAAAGAAAGAGTGTAGCAATCATGAGTGAATGAAATACAAAAAAATTGACTAGATGAAAAAGAAAAAAAAGACGGCAAAAAACCAAATATCTCAAAATAATAAAAAGTCAATAGAAGGTAAAAAAAAAATACACATAATTTCACCCCCAAAGTATGCACAGAAGGGTTATATAAAAACAAATGCGTAACAATATCTTTATATCTCTTTATATCTCTTTATATATATATCTACTTGCTAAAAAAGTCAAGGAGATTTTGCACCATTGGTGTAGGTTTGGTAGCATCTTTTTTCTTTATATCCTTTGCTCTAGTTGATGGGTTCTTCTTATCAGAAGCCTCCTCCTTCTCAAGTGAAGATAAATATGTTCGAAAACGATTCTCTACAGCTACAAGTACACTTCGCTTTAATTCTTCATCGTGTACGAGCTGCATTAACATTTCGACCAAAACATCTGGGGAATCATTTGTTTTACCAGATTTCGTGTAATGTAATAGCGAACGTGTTGATGACACTAACGGTTTAGAAGATGATACAAGTGGTTTTAATTGTTCCTGCTTTCCATTCCCTTTGCTAAGTGATATATTCATGCCTTTTTGCACAACCTTCTCTTCCTTCCCTAATTTACTACATTCACCCCAGCTGTCTTGTGAAACCTCATTCAACCCAGCAGAGTCTAGAGACATGTTACGTGAAAAACTTGAACGTGGTCCTGTCATTGGCTTTACTGCCCCACATGAAATATTCGCTTTAGATTTAGTTGTACGACGAACAACCGGTTCATCCAATGACACTGGTGATGCTATTTCCGGAAGTGTAGATGGAATCTTTCCTCCCAATGGAAGTGATTTACTGATACTTACTCCAGCAGCACGAGAGGCCACAGGATCGAAGGTGGCCATTTTTCCTTCAAAAACCGGTTTAATTAAAGTTTCACTTTCATCATCATTAACGCCATCGTTCTGAAATGCAATCTGACTTAACGCTTGGAATGAAACAAGTTTTGAAAAGATACCATCACCACCAGCTGAAAGAAAAGATGCTGAAGAAGTACCATCAGCAGCAGAGAAGGAGGCTTCTTTGACCAAAAAACTATCTAACGCTAGGCTTACATACTGTGATAAAACATCACGTTTTTCATTTTGATTTTTAGGTTTTTGCGCAGGTATTTTACCTTCTGCACTTCGTCGTTTAAATCCTTCAACAATGTGATCTAGCAAGGTGTCAAGGTGATCTACACAGACGGTTTTATTCAAAGGCTGACGTGATGTTAAAAGTGGTGGCCGACCAATAGGTAAGCAACTGTGTGTTACAGCTTTTCGCAAAGACAAATTACCGGAATTTTCTGGACCTGTATTAACAATATTTTTTGGCGCCAAAGGAGGAATAGGTTGACGTGTTTTTGCCAAAGTATTGGTTTCATTATTATTATTATTATTATTATTATTATTATTATTATTATTATTATTATTATTATTATTACTTTGTTTTTTCTCCCCGGGTGAAATGGTATTTATAGATTTTTTATTTACAGGCTGATCTTCCAACGGGTTTGTACCATACATATCCCGAAGAAACTCCAACACATTTTGTCGAAATGCTGCTGAACCATTTACCTTGTTTACACTTCTTGGTGTTCTTTGCGATTGAGTGTTTTTCATAGGTGAAGTATGTCCCGTGTCATCATTTAAGGGTTGTTTCAAGCTCCACTGTACGGATAGTTTGCGCTTTGGTTTTTCACCCGCATTTGAGTTATCATTTACTGGTTTTAAGGTTGATGCTGACTTCATCCACGCCGAGCGGGGTCCATTGTCTGGTGCCCCTGTCGACGGAACATTCTTTTGCATCCTTTACTCAAGAAGACTTTGATAACTGTTAAAGAAGCGTTGATATTCAAAAAAGAATAACAGTGGCTAATAACCAGATAGAGGCACAAGAACACCGGTAAAAAAAAATAACAAGAAAAGGATAGAATAGGGTTTAGAGAGTGTCGTTCTATCCCTTATCAAATATCAATAACTTCAAAAAAAAAAGGAATCAACGAGGTAAAAATGAAGAGAAGAAAAAAAAATCAATAACAGTAAACACAGAAAATGATTGTAGGGAGAAAACAAAATTTTCTACAGGATCACAGACAAGAAGAAAAAGAGTCAAAAAGTACTTGTAACTATATAACGAAATTAATATAAAAAGCAAAAAGTGTTTCAAAAAAAAAATTTCACGAATATCAAGTAACTAACTAAGAAATCAATATTGTACTACGCTCATGGCACACATTATCAATCATATCACTTAATTTTCGTAAATTGACTGCTCGCTGTTTTCGTTGTTCTTTGGAAACCGAGGAATCATACAAGACAAGACGACATGCACGTAATACGGTTCGTTGTACATCACCTTCACACACTGAAATTATCATATCAATCGTGTCTTCCTCGCTGATGGTCTTTCTTGCTGCCTTGTAAGCAGCACGTCCGGAAACAGCAGTTAAACCTGCCACACGTGAAACACTTTCCCACTTTGATGTACCAAAACTGTCCAACTCTTTTAGGAAATTGTTTTCCCTCAGATGCTGTCGAGCAGCAACAGCATACTGGTGAGCCACAATAGGCATAAGCTTGGGACCAGCACGTGTAGAGACGGCATCCTGTATTACACTTCGTGCCGCTTCAATTCCATTTTCTTCGTCCAGGAATCGTAAAAGGTGTTGTGCGAGGCGCAAGGTACGCCGACGCTGAAGTTCTTTTCTGATTTTATTAGTAAAAATAACATTGGGTGTAAACAAAACTGCCGCCGTGACTCGACCAATAAATACCTCCAAAAACGGTGCACCGAGACCTTCCTCCACATCTGTGTAGGACTTCTCCTGCGAGAGTGTGGAGTCCACCACACCATGGGTGTCGTACTGCAGGCGACGACCCTCGTCGGAGAGGACATTGTGTGCCTCCAGTAGTTTCTGAAAGCGCAGTGTGGCACCCTCATCATCGGGGTTTTTATCCGGATGCATTACGAGTGCCTTGCGGTGAAATGCAGTGCGGATCTCCGCCGCCGTTGCCGTCTTACTCACTCCCAAAATTGCATAATAGTCATTCGTGCCTGCCTCACCAGTTGAGCCCACCGCACCATTTTCATTTTCTGCCGCAGTATCACCTTCCCCAATGCGTTCCTTGTACAGCTGCCGAGCCTGTGCGAAGAGATCATCGTCGGTGACGGGCAGCTCAGCGAGTGTGTCGGAGAGATGCACTTCCACCCATTTTCCCTGTTCACTGTCCCAATAACGGGAACCGCGTACACTTTCAACGACCGCATCTTTCGTGTTGTACACACCGCGCGCCACTTGCCAAATGCCTGTAGCTGTTCCGTATACCGTCAAGCCGACAAGAGAGGCGACCCCCAAGCCGAGTCCCTTCGCCACGCCCACGGCGCCCTCCTCCTTGCCAAGCATGACGGGCATTGCAACAAGGCCGCTAACGCCGAGGCCAACACCAACAGCGATGTTCTGCACGCCGTCGGCCAAACCCTGCAGTGTGTGTTTCGGTGTGCCTCTCGCAAAGATATTCGGGAACTCCCGCATTAAAACCGCCGGCGTACCTGCACCATCATTTAAGGATGGAGAGGAAGAAGGAAGAGGAGGGGATGGGGGGCCATCGGGAGAGCCGTCCAAATTGGTATATCCAGTGCTCATGACTTTCTAAAGAATTAAGAGAGAAAGAGAGAGAAAGAGAGGAGGAGAGAGAAGGCTCAGTACTCACCAATAGCAGTTTGGTATGGATGTCGGCACGCAAAGGCAGTGAAAGAGAGAGAGAGAGATGACACACACACACAGAGATATCTAGATGTTTCAGATGTGTTTATCAGAGGAAATGTATGGCTCCCAGAAAGAAAAAAAACAGAAATGTCGACGGGAGATAACAAGCAAAAAGGAAGATATTCGCACAAACATAACATGAAACAGCAATAAGAACAAAAAGGTTAAGATGAAATTTAAAAACAGTCTCACGTGAATGAAATGTGATTTAAAAAAAAACAAAAACTTCCATCCAAAAAAACGAAAATAAAACCATTAAACTGAATATACTCCCCAAAGTAAAAATGAATGCGAGAAAAA